GATAAAATGGGCTTTAATAAAATGATAAAAGTGCACTTCTTGCACATCTCTAAGACTTGTTTCCACACAGTGAGGAAATGAACCCTTCCCAAAAGCAATGTGATAGCTGTAGGTCACTTCTATTGAGTTATTTTATCTTAAAACTGGACAAGCCTCAATAAATTCTCCTATGACTAAAAAGTACGAATGTAACACAGAACTAATTATCCATGACATAGCAATTTTACATAAATGAAATTAATTCCATTCACTTTATCTTAATGTTTATAAATAGAAAATAGACAAGGGAGCAGGGCAAAAAAAATGTGAAGGAAGAACTATAACCTCCTTGGTTTTTCTGGGGAAAGAACATGATAATTCATACTTTCATCCACATAAAAAATCCAAGCAAGCCATAAGTCAAAGGTAGAATGTTATCTAAAGCAAAGACATTTAGGAACTGTTTATTACATTTCTCAGTTACTTATATATTTCTTAATGATGATTAATGTGCTGCTTCATAAATTACCATGAACTTCCAAGAGTGAGGACTGTCTAAAAATTTTCAGCACTATTTTGGGATTATAGTATAAATGTTAAATTGAAACTTTACCATATTCCTGAAGCCACACAACAAAAAAGACTTCAAGTATTCTATCCTCATATAAAAGGATCCTGCCAGATCCACTCTTCTACTCTACTGCAAATGATTGATGAGAACCGCAGAAGGAAAGTAACACACAAAGTAATTAACATTACAGACAATCTAAATTATAATTACAGTATTCCTACACAAAAAAAAAGTTGAGTATTTTGTGATGTAGTATTTTAATTTAAATATAACAAATTTTATACTTCTGATTAGTAGGCACTGTCTCTGTCAGGACTATTCATATTTTAGTCATATCAATTCCAGGGGGAAGATTCCAAATGATGCAGTAAAGGCAGACATGGCATCCATTACAATTAAACAGCCAGTGTATGCAAACCTCACAACTTGTTTTCATATCACAATGACAGCATGTGGTAGTGAACTTTCTGTTCAGAACTGTAAGACCTGGAAAGGGAAAGAAATATATACTCCCAGATACTAATTACTCAGATGCTTCATACTCAACCTCTTCAAAAACCTGGAGATCAGCCAAAAAGTGTCATAAATGGTTTCACTTTGTACCAGAACACTATTTATCAGCATCCTTAATTTCTATCTGTGCAGACAGACTGCGCTCAGTACTTAGCAATGAAATCGCTAAATGTAACAGCAGTGCTAATTAGATCATACATAAGCGTTTGAGGTTTTTGATTATAACCCAGAATTCTCTATTAAATTCAGCTAAGGAACGTCAACCACATCTGCTACAGCCATCACAGAATGAAAGGTGGTTGTGTTCACACGGAATAAAGGTGGTTGTGTATACAAGAGATGATGCAGAACCTCAACATGTCAGTGGCAACATGTGTCCCACCTGGAACATGACTGTCCAGCAGGACAGCTGAGTAACTGGCCAGTATAGACCTACCTCTGCCTAAATGAATGTCCAATGGCTTATCTATACAGTGAAGAAGTAGAGTTATTTGTCTTGAAATGAGGATACGAGGTCTTGACCAACAGTACAGTTTGGGGAAAAAAACGCTCCCGGCAGCAGGCGCAAGGATGGATGCCAAGTTCCTCTGTCTGGGATCTGTGGGGGGGGACGACAGCCACAACACAGGGTGCTTCACCCTCTGCTTTTGTCTCCCTCCCTTTTCCCTCCCTCAACCTTCATCCTAAAACTTGTACTTCTTTTTAACCCAGAAATACACCCCACTTTGACAAGCTCACTGCTGTTCCTTACAGAGAAGCATTTTGCATTGCTGCGCTGAAATGACCTAAAACAATGAACCAATGAATAAAAAAACTTTAGCTTAAATACCAAGAACAAAAGCAGCACAAAAGCAACCTCTTTCCTTCTTGCATTGGGTGCTGTTCTGTGCTATCAAAAAACCAGAAATATCACAGACAATGACTCATTCTACAGAAATAAATCAAAATCCAATGACCTCAAAGAGGAAGAAAGTTTTACCTCAAACATACATATGTAAGGCTAATATCCAAAAAGTCACCTGCACTTATGTGAGTAAAATCTCAATGCTTCCATGTAAGAACTGTAACTGAAACACCACCTATGACTGATGTCAAATGTTTTTTTTCAACGCACACATATTTGAAGGTGCTCATTCCACTTGGCACCAGTGAAAGTTTAGAAGTTCAGCCAATACAGCAAACAGAAATGAAACGTATTTCAGAAACTTTAGTAAATTATTCTGGCATGGTTCTCACTTTATTTTAAGATTGTTGCAAAATCCAAAATAAAAATTAAGAACAAATTTTGAATTTATTTAAAACAAATTGGTTTTTTGTTGGTTTTCTAGGATAATTTTCAAGACTTCTCTGTATCAGTGGATGATACATACACAAAACTAGACAAATAAAGCCTTTGATTCTATTAAAGTTTTACTTTTGCAAACTTATTTTAAAAAAGGCTGGTTTAAACCCTACACATTTACTTTGTTTGAACTTTAACGAGCAGAACCGATATAATTTGTGGCGTTAAAATTATTCGGGCACAACAAAAGCTAACATCATGTCCTTGCCAAACAGTGAAACAGATTTCCACAGCCTACATAAGCCTTGTTTTCCACAATCAAACTGTCACAGCATGAAAACATTCTCCTGCGTGTGGAGGTTTTGATACCCATTTCCCTGGTGAAAGTGTGCAAAAGGATCTGAAAGAGTTATTGACAATTCATACAGTATCCCATATTCCATTAGGTCCTACAAGCAGAGAACATATCTTAACTCTGAAGGGAGACGAAGCAACAATGTTTTAAATTACTATTGACTCCACTAAATTTCCTGATAATGTCAGAAGACTGTAGTCTGTCAGGTCCATAAGAGACTCAAGATGATACAGGAATCCAATTATGCGAAGTCTATTTAGTTGTCCTGTTTGCTAAGCCAAAGGTTAACGAGAACTGCACTGAAAAAACCTCCTGTGGTATTACAAAGTATTTCTTATGCTGCATAACATGCAAATGAAAAAGTATTTTAATCAAGTCTTTCTTTAACTCCTTAATTGCAATGGGGGACTTCTAGAACACAGCAAATTAAAAACTCACCACGGAAAAAGTGATTTTAAAAATCTGCCACTGACCTCAAGAGATCATCGCTAATTACTAAAGTAATTATTACTGAATATTTCTAATTTGCAAAGGAAAAAATGCTCAGATCACAGAACCACAGACAGTCATTGCTAACATTAAATCTTTATAAATAGTAAGTTGTGGCCTCTAATTTTAGACAGAAATTAATTATATTTTTGTTGGCAACACATTCAAAACTGTTTACACAGCTGACAAGTTCCAGCTCCACCAGACTCGAGCAGTGAGCTTTGAGGACTCCTCTGCTTCAGAGCAGATGACTTAACATTCACCAGTTTCATTAAAGATGAAAAGGGGAAAAATTCACCTGCAACAATGTCAGTTGTAAAAACAGCCTTAAAACAGACTCATGAGTTTTGCATCTGTGAGGTATCCCATTCAAAAGAAGAGGGAGGGAAAAATAAGGGAAAACCTAACAGCTGTGGGAAAACAGATTAGGAGTGTTGAGTTTCCAATTCCTTTTTGGGCTAATGTAAACTAATAAAATGTTAAGATGGATCCACATTTCAAAGACTGTAATTACCACATGACACCATGCTGTTATTTCAGATCTGTCGGCTCAGATATGCTCCTGAATACATGGACACAGATTTACCCACCTTTCTCAAACTTAACTACTGTTTCTGCAAACACAACCACAGATATCTTTTACAAGTATATTAGAAATTCAGACAGTCTTTGCTTTTTTTAATTGGTAGAAATCCTTAACTCAGAGCAAAGAAAGCAGCAGTCATGCTCAAAAAGCAATTCTCCCTTTACAAGAGGAGAGTGGAAACAGACATCAAAGATAACAGCAACATGTAGAGAAAAAGCAAATCTCAATTCCAATTTCATCTTGTAGAATACTCAGGTTCAACCCCTAGTTTATATGAATGATTTTATAAAAATATACATTTTTCCTGCGTTTTCCTCAGGTCACAAAACCTACATACAACATAACCACGTCATTATTTCAGCCTTTTAGGCAGGTTTTTGTGATTTGCTTTGTTTTGTTTATTTTCAATAAAGGCAAACCTAACCAGCTGGCATTGGGAACATACTACCAGAAGAAAATTATCTAGGCAAAACTGAAAGACTCTGTAGGGACAACCATCAAGGATGCAAGTCTAATATTCAGTGGAATTCTGCAGTTAAGTCCCACAGTTTCACAAATTTGTCGGCAGTTCACAGTCAGTTGATTCTATCACAGACAGTGATTCTCCAATGGTTTCAGCCTAACCAGCTGGCATTGGGAACATACTACCAGAAGAAAATTATCTAGGCAAAACTGAAAGACTCTGTAGGGACAACCATCAAGGATGCAAGTCTAATATTCAGTGGAATTCTGCAGTTAAGTCCCACAGTTTCACAAATTTGTCGGCAGTTCACAGTCAGTTGATTCTATCACAGACAGTGATTCTCCAATGGTTTCAGTTCAGCAAAGGCACAGGCTTAAGCATGAACTTGGTGAACAAATGTACTGAGTAAAATACCTAGATGTGCATGCTGAGCACAGGTGAAACCAGGACTTTTTTCCTGAAGTTCATCACTGTAATATACTTCTTCAGCTTCCAAAATGTTGTGCAGCTTTGCTTCAGTCTATGAAAATGTCTCATTCTTGCCTAAGACATGCACTGAATTTGATACACATGAATAGCTTCCATGTGCTTCAGTAATCCAAATCTTAAGTATTTTTATCTTTCAGGACAAAGTTCTGAAGTGTGTATAACGTTAAGTTACTGCATATGAGGCAGTAAAAGCTACTGAGTGATTCTGATCAAAAATGCAAGAAAAATCAGCTATTTGTAGGAAGAAGTGAAATGAGAACCAAAGGTACTTACTGAGTCATCTGTGGCAGAAGGTGGCCAGCCTTCCCAGAGCTGGTGACGGACAGGGATACTAGTCAGGTCATACACATTCCGCTTTACCTGTGAAAAAATATTTTTAAAAAAAACAAAAAATCAGAATTTGCTGAAAAAAGAGCCACAGAGGCAAACTGCCTTGATTTCATCATAACTCTAAGTGGTTTACATTTATTTTTTCTGAGTTTTGTAAAATTCCAATGCTCAGAGACTCAGATCTGGTCTACAGGTTTCCACACAAAACTGCCAAAAGCAATTGAGCAAACCATGTTAAAGAAAAAACATCATTAAAATCCATACATTCCCATTCATAATGATTCATTTATTACTTCAGCATTATAAATGTGCAAAGCAATTCATAATTACAATTTTCACAGAAAAAAAGTATTACAAAGCAAAGGGAAGAGAAGGTAATAACAAAAATTCTGTTACACGTTTTGCTAGTTAATGTTTTCCATTTCACCTGAAAGTATTGGGTGAAAATCTAATCCAATAAGACATACAACCACTTTTGCATGTTTCTTACATAGGATCAAAAAATGAGTATATTAAACACAAAACTCTGTATTAATAAGCACATTTCCAAGGAAGACAACACATTTCAAACAATTATTAACAAAATGCAAAAAACCTAACTTCAATTCTTTTCTCATGCTATCAAAATACAAGTTGCTACCATTAATCACCTCACGTGATTGTTATCAGAAGCAAGGGAGGGGGAAAAAAAAAGAAAGAGCTGAACATTTCAAATACAGGATGAATACTGCAAAATACAGGAGTGAGAAAACTCACAAAAACATCAACAGACAGAAAAGCAGGCAAATTTTATCAGGGTTTTGTGTTAAGTATCTAAATCACAAAAAGATGTGTTTTGGCACTTAGGATAGAGAGTGGTATCTTAAATTCAGAATAATGTTTTACACCCGAATGTAAAGACAACATGAACAACCAGCACATGCAAATATTGCCCACCTGGACCATAACTGTGAACAATAAAATGCTTACAGCAAGCAATGTTGGCTTTTCATAGAATCATAGAACAGTTTTGGTTTGAAGGGACCTTAAAGATCTAGTTCCAAACCCTCTGCCCCGGGCAGGGACACCATCCACTAGACCAGGGTGCTCAAAGCCCCATCCAACTTGGCTTTTTTTGGTTTGTCATCCATAAAACTGATGCATGGGAATGCAAGGTCCTCCCATATATTCACAGGTCTAGACAGATCTCAAAAACCTATATTACATCCAGAAAAACATACTCAAAAGAGATGAAAGTAAGGTTTGATATATTTTACTAGTGTTTTGCATGTCCATTCGCTAGACAAAGTATCTGAGCAAGTCAGAAGTTCTGCACCCTGATCCCAGCTCCCAGATGGCTGCACAGTCTGACACTAACAGACACAAGAACCAAGTGTTTGACACCTTAAAAAATTATTGAGGCAGATGGATGAGATTTGACTTACAGCAAATGCTAGGACTACTTCAAAAACTCCCCTCTAATGTCTTCTTTAGATACTCATTTGTTCACTTGTCAACAGGAAAGAAGCAAAAATTAATTGTGCCCTGACTTGTCCTAAGAGTGTCACTAAAAATTTCATTAACTGAAAAAAATTATATATATTTGTCATCAGAAAGAGACCTTTGAGCTAGCACCTTGCCTGTAGTCTAGTGCACTTACCCTGAGTTAACAACTTTTTCTAAACAGGAAAATATTTCACAAAACTCAGAAGGAAAGCTGAAATTTGTCAGAATGATTAATACTAACAGAATCCAGATATTTAAAGATTTCATATCAAGAAATGAGCGAAAGATTATTTTAAACTACTGCTCTCAGGGAGATAATACAATAAAACAGAGACATTTTATATCACTTGATCCTACCTATTAATTAGCACTTGCCATAGCTTCACCACTGAAGCACAGTTTAGGTTTGACTCCACAATAAGGTAAAACAAACATATGGAATGTACATATGTTCCCTCAAAAACTGTCATTTATTTTCAGTGCAGAATGTACATGAAACATCTGGCAGTAGATATTAATCTAAAGTGAGTTTGCATAATGAAACAGCAGCAAACTCTTTCTCTGGATCATCTTTAGAGGGAAATGCTGCAAGGACTCTTCTTTGAAACTCTGCACACCGATAAACGGCTGAAGAACACTTGTGCAGACATTCAGCAGGGAAATTATTGTTCTACTCATTGGAAAGATGCTAAGGAGGGCGAGGGATGAGGCACAGATTTCCACACGTACTCTTGCTCACAAATGCTGATTTGGGCAACATTCTTCCTAAGACTCTTCATAGCACAGCTGTGAGTTTGCCAACAAATACTGGACTGAGAAAATTCAGGGCATATCGAGATCAAACACAAAGTACAGTGCTCTTACTGGCTTTTCAGTACTCAGATCTTTATGAAATACTATTAGTACCCTAACCCTAACCCTTAAATAAAGTATTTCATACTTTCATGAAAGTATGAAATAAAGTATTTCGTACTTTCATGAAAGTATTTCATACTTTCATACATTCATGAAATAAAGTATTTCATACTATTAAAATTCCCCTTAGTAAAAACTATGAAGAAACGTCTGACATTTCTGGATAGATTTAATATATAGGCTATGTGGACATTAATTTCAATACAATCCAACTAAACTAATACTAAGTTTAAAGCTTTGTAAATATAAATATTCTGCACAGATGAGTGGAATACAAGGGCTTCAATTTAGCATCCAAGAGTGAGACACATTATTTCTGAGTCTACACCTCACTAAAGGATGAAAGTCAGACCCTGTGAGTTCCTTATCTGGAAGTTCCAGTATCATAACGTATATTTGGGTTGGATTTTCAGCTCAGCTTTACATTCAATTGTTTTAGAACAATTAAGATATCTCTCCTTTTTTTTATTTCTTTAAAACTGGTAAGTCACGTGTATACATGAGAACCTTTATGTTAATATTGGTTTTGTTCAAGGGCTTTTGCAGGGAGACTTGACCTACTAACTACTTTTTCAATTAAGAAAAAAATTACAACTATAATTTAACCAAAAAAATGAAAACAAGAACACTGGGGTTTTAAGGCATAGAATGCTGAAGTATCTACTAGCAACTCAAGTGGACTTCATTTTAGTGCTGTCACATAGTATCCTTGATAGGTTAGTATTAAGGTAAAGAGATGTTAGTCTGACCCTAAACAGACCATCAAAAATGTAACAATCCTGATCTGTGCTCACAAGAATATGGTGCTTGCTGGTTTAGTTTTCTTGGATTAAAAACAAGGATGAACTGTCCCTGTGAGATATTTATTCTCCAGTTACACACCAGAAAGTCTTATCAATATTATTTTCACAACATAAAACTCTAAAATGAGCTCTTTTTAAATAACAAGTGAAACTTATTTACAGAAACATGGGATCAATAGGGCTACATAATATTGTTTTCAAAAAGCCTTCAGAAGTAAAAATAAATAACTCGGAAGTCACATTCCTCAAATTCCCTTTTAATTCCAAAGTACAACAGAAAGGCATTATGAAAAAAACAGTATTTCCCTTCTTTCATTAACTCATCTGTAACTGCACTGAATTCAATAACATTCCTCTGCTATTCTAAGCTTGAAAGGCATGCTCGGGGTAAAGTGTTATGTTGGTATAAAGCACAATGCCAGACTGATGTGCTGGACAAAAGTGATCAAAGTTGAAGTAATTTTAGCCAACGCACAAGTATTCTGCTGCATTATTCTACCAGAATGACATCTGTTGAGCAACTCGTCACAGAATAAACCAGTTGTTATAGACAGGCCTGGCTGGGTAGGGGACCATGTAAGACTGATTAGAGTAATGTTTGATTAAACAAACTGCTTGAGTTAAGATCATAACTGGATTTGGAATTCATGCCAAAGTAGTCCTCTTTCAAACAACAAGCCACAATCAATTATTTAAGATAAAATAAGCTTGCTTTTAAATAACGATTTACGTTTAGGTTTGCTTGATAATTAGAACAGTGTTACGAAAGCAGCTGCAGAATGTTTTAGAGGTTAGGATATTTAGAGTTACAGAGAGATAATCATTCTAATAGAGAGATATTAGATAATCTCTAATAATCTCTAATAGGGAATAGAATTGAGTACAGAAAACCCCTTTTCTTCATTAATTCACTTAACTTCAGTTTTAAGTTAACAACTCCATGAGGAGGTAAAACTTGTAAATATTCATATAAAGCAGAACCCTAAACTGCTCCTTCACTAGGCCAATGAAATAAAAATCTGCAGCCACATTCCTCATGCAACTGAAACAAGTTAGCACATCAGTAAACAGACAAAGTCTGTGTTAAGGCTTATATTTATAAATACACTTGACATTGATAGGAGGACTGAAATCTTTATGAATTTGTGGAAAGCAAAGTCCAAGTTGCAGTGCCATCCACTGAGCTACGTTTATTGGCAAACTTTCTGGTCCCCTACCTTTGATGGGTGTGAAAACGAATTGGTGGCATTGTCTTTGTGCAGCCCAGAATTTCTTTTCATAATGTTCAGATGCCATGGTGACTGGCACATTACTGTGGCAGCCCCCCTTCGGATTATCATCTCCAGAATATAGGAGATCACTTAAAAACAAATTAAAGGCACATCTATTTGGTTTCACAACTCAGCTGTGAACAGTAGCAATGCATTTAAACCAAAAAACTACCCCATCTATTTCAGATGCAGTTTTACTTGGAAAGTCCTGTACAATTCCTGCAGAATGCCCTGCCTTGCAGCTATATGTTGATGCTGGAAAATTACATTACGTTTTACCTTCAGCTCATTTGCAATGGTGTTAGAAGGGAATTAAAATATTAAACAGCTTCTAATATTTTAAGAAAATCCGTATGTCAAAGTAGCCAACACACTGAGAATACTTCCCAGATATAGGCAGTGTGTTATTGCCTTATCTTTCACTGGTTCCTTTAAGAAGATGAGAATGTTGCTTTAAAAGTAAAGTTAAACACAAAAGATACAGTTTATTTATAGATGTGAAGTTAATCCAACATTCAATTTCTTTCCACATTCATACTAGTAAGGATAAAATGAA